GCATCTAGGATGCTTCCAGGTTCTGGCTATTACAAATAATGCTGCTATGAACATCGCTGAACAGATGTCCTTGTTGTATGAATGTGCTTCTTTTGGCTATATGCCTAAAAGTGGAATTGCTGGATCTTGTGGTAGACTCATTACCATTTTCCTGAGGAGTCACCATACTGATTTCCAAAGTGGCTGTACAAGTTGGCACTCCCACCAGCAGTGGAGGAGTGTTCCCCTTTCTCCACATCCTCTCCAGCATAAACTGTCATTGGTGTTTTAGATTTTAGCCATTCTGACAGGAGTAAGATGGTATCTCAGAGTTGATTTGATTTGCATTTCCCTGATGGCTACATTCAGCAAGACAAAACGGCAACCCACGGACTGGGAAAAGATATTCACCAACCCCACATCTGACAGAGGTTTGCTCTCCAAAATATACAAAGAACTCAAGAAGCTAGTTTCCCAAACACCAAACAATCCACTTAAAAAGTGGGGTACAGTACTAAATAGTCAATTCTCAATAGAGGATTCTAAAATGGCTGAAAGACACACACCTGTATCTTATATTGTGCCTTAATGTGTAACCTTTCCACAAATGAATTTAGTTGCCAAAATGTTTTCACAAGGTCCCTTTGCCTTATTAACTGGAGTGGGCAACATGGTCAGTTCAAAGACAACTGTTTTTTTTGTTGCTGGCAACCCCAGAGCTCTGTCAGAAGTATTGTCCTGGCAGCATGACAGTATAGAAAGAACATGTGGATAGGGAGGGTGCCTTTGTGACATTTACATAGTAATGTGAAGTATGTGCTCACTCACCTTAAGCACTTTTTCAATTTGGAAAATTCCATATTGTTCTTCATATACTTATGCATTCTTATCTTTAAATAGGCAAGAAGACTTCATATAGGACTATTACAAAATGGGTATCAGCATTATTGTTGTAGAGGAGAAATCTTGACTGCAACTCTGTCCAAACAACTGAAGGAGTTTTAAGTGCTGAAATGAAGAGAGAAAACTCACTGGAGGAAGCTGAGGAAGAAGGTATCATCCATTTGATTTGGAGATCTGTGTTGGCAAAAAAAAAAAATGCACTTAAAGTTGGGCTCATTGTGTCCCACAAAGACCAGAGAGATGGAAGCACTAGATTTCTTGATGATTCATTTCAAAGGGATGGCCCCTGTCTTTAAAAAGACATTCCCGTCAGGGTATGGTGACTCATACCTTCAATTTCAGGACCTAGGAGACTGAGGCAAGAGGATCAAGAGTTTCAGGCCAGCATAGTTTCAAGGTTAGACTGTTCTTTAAAGAAAAAGATTGTACTGTAAAAAACAAGATTGTACTGGGGAAGAAGGCTCTGTGAATAAAGGGCTTGCTGTACTAGTTTGTAGGCCATAATGCAGAGCCCTGAAACCCACAGGAAGGTAGGACAGAGGATACATGGGGCCAACTGGCTGGCCATACCTAGCCAGAATTGGCAAGTTAAGCTAGAGATTCTGCATCAATAAATAAAATAGGACACAATCAAGGAAATCACTCAAACATCAACACATGAACCTACACACATGTGAACACATAAATACATGCATAAACACCACCCACATATGCAGGGAAGATAAAAACAAGGGCTAGAAATACAAGTCTGTCCTAGAGCACTTGCCTAGCATGCACAGAGCCCTAGGTTCCATCCCAGCACTGCAAAGACAAACAGCTAAAACAGCTTCTAGAGACGGGGAGAAGACTTACATTTTAATGATGCTAAGAAATAATTCTTGATTCCAAAGGCTCTATACAAAAGGGAGGTTCAGGACTTATTATCAGGAAGAAACCTATCTGCTTCCCCCGCCCACACACTCAAGCTAAAAGGACTTTTAAAGCCATCTTGATCAATTATCTTTGATCAAATCTAGCAAACGATGAAGAGTTTTCATATGTATTAATTCATATACAATAATTATTTTTTGCAAATTGACTCACAGAGAAATCTATAAAGATTGTGAGATTAGAGTAAGTGTTTAATTTTACAGCTGACCTAACTATCCTACTTAATTATAGATTGTTTTTCAAATGTCAAAGTTCATCTGGGAATTTAAATTGCTCACTCATTTGTTGATTTAAGCAGAAATTGCCTCTGTATAAAATATCTTAGTTTATGATTTTGGTTAAGAATAGATAAATGATTACTTATATGACCTCCAGCTTTGTAATGAAAATTTCTAAGGATATATTGAAATGACAAGATTTCCCATAATTCAGTGTGGGAGGGGAACAACTCGGTTCTATTTAAGGGGCAAGCCACTGTGTTTGACCATGCTCCATTGAGTACATAGATAACACGGACTGGACTTGTTTTGTGATTTTTTTTTAATTTTAATTTTTGCTTTTGGGGGGGATGTCACTAGGGCGGGTGGCTGGACATGGAAGGACTGAGAAATGCATGTGATGTGAAATTCCCAAATAATCAATGAAGTACTTTTTATAAAATAATACTAATAAAGATTTCCCACAATTCCAGCTAAAGGGAGGTAAAAGAATATATCCATTACCAAATCTGGCAGGAATTGGTGAAAGCAATTATCGTTCTCACCCTGTGCCCACTCATTTAAATATAACAGCTAAGGAACGCTGACGTGCCATCTGTTTGTATTTCAGTGACTGTCACGGATTCTCAACCCTTGAGTCTTTGGGAAAAAATTCCAGTAGCATTCCCTCTTGGAAAATATAGATTTCTGAAGTAGTGAGGGCACTGTTTCTCCTCCTTCTTCTTCATTCACAATTTCACTCTGTTCATTCATGCACACACCGATGTACACATGAAAATATAGAGTATCAATGAAGTGCTGGACATTCTGAATGTGAGCTTATGCTACTTCACTTATTTTATCAAACCAATCGAGGTATAACCTGGACCTTTCTCTATTGTTCTAGACTCTTTGTGTCCCCCAAATGCTTAAAAGTAATGGCCGAGAAGACACCAATTGATCATAGGCATGAGCTGTTGACAACAAATAGAACCATTACCTTCCTTGGCCCTTTCATTCTTTCCTACCTTCCCATACCCCTAGATTTAAGGTAGATAGATGAGCCTTCACAGATGCTCACAGTCACCTTTTTGATTTCTGGAAAAAAAAACTGCAAAGACTACAGTCATAGTCAAAAACCTCTTGAGCCTTGGTGTTTGTACCACTCAGTTTTTGCCAGCATGCCTACAGGCATGGGAAGCCAGAACACATGCCTTGCAGCTCTAACAGGCTTCATAAGTTTGTGGCCAAGGCTGAATGAGTATTTGTCTGTTGTATTAGAAATGGACTCTTGCCTTCCTCAAGCTGTTCACCCTCTAATCCCCACCCAACTAGAGCCTGCATCATTTTCTTCCCATGAACCCCTTGTCTTCCACCACGCCCATGCATTAGTCATTCTCTGTTGCTGTACTTGCGTGTGCCCAATCTCTAGTCAAACATCTGCTGGAGAGTGTAGAATAAGTTTCATGTGTATAACTTTGCCTCCATGTGAAGGGAATAGTTGAGTGGTGATTGTTGCTTGCAAGCTGTATAAATATTCTGGAGCTTCCTTTCCAGAATTTCTTGGGTCATCTTCATAAAAAAAGTATCAACTATTCTGTGGCCCAGGAAAGACAAATCAACACATAATATATAGACATTTATCTGTATTGTCCCTGTGATTTTAAATTGTTATCTAATTTGCAGAAAGTTTATTTATTTATTTATTTATTTATTTATTTATTTATTATTTTACTAATTAACAAGAAGAGTCATAACAGGAATCATGAACTCTTACATCAAATAATGTTCCTATTT